TCAAAGATTGGAAGAGACAACTTTAGTACTAAACCGGACGTAGTTGAGGGACCCGTATGTATGAATTTCTTCAGGCCACTTCTGCGAGTTAAAAAGAGAGGGAAAACGCATCAAAGACACCCTATTTTTATGCTTGCACTTTATTATTTAAACATTCCATTAACTCCTAACTTGCAACCTCTTTTCCTTCCCATCCTCAATCTCCTGCCGTCGAAAATTTATGTGTTAATGTCATTCTTTACCCGATGGTGTTTTAGTGCAACGAAACCCGGGTCGTTTCAATTTGTGGAATAACTGAGTGAGTTTCTTTTCCTTGTGATTTGTATGGAGCTGCTACGCCGTTTTCGGGAACATCCGTAACTTCACTCTCACGACAGACAGTCCTTTGGGATAGGAACTCACTGTTATGGGCCATAAAGATTTTTATTCAAGGGAAGCAGATTCACTGTTTTACGTCTTAAACGGTTTCAGTGGTTCATATTTTGGAACGCCGTGATACGTTATTAGTTTCTTCATCGATCCCCGTTTTTTCTTCTAGGCACACTTCTACCGAATGGGAGAAAGTTCTCATGATGGTCCCGTTTCTTAACACGGCTGTGTGATGCGTACGCTGTAAATCTTCAAGGATTGCCAGTGCGAGGCGTCTCTGACTAAAACGTGTCAATTTTTCTGAAACTCTGCATTTTTCCTTCAGTTCTCTTCAACTCCCCTATATGATGTATTGCAAAATCCGGAAAAATCCAGAATCTGAAACAATCTTCATCCCAAACATTTCGGATGGGAATACTCAAACTATATTGGCTATGAATACGGTCTGCTGGGGTGCGGGCTGCCGCGTCGGATGAGGTTTTGCCCATTATAAGTTGGTATTCTCAGCATTGCAGCGAGTCTTTTCCATGACAGTTGACATGTGTGATAAGCAGTTTCCAGGCACTACCTTTTGGCAGATACGGGTTAAAAGCAATGAGCATCGATGTTGTTTTATGTTACCATCTCAGTGTGGTTGCTTTGAGTGCCAAATAGCATGTTCCTCGTCTACGGCCTACGGCTGTGTTCAAGTAAGGAGCGAACAGGCTCGCTGCCGTGCGGCCAGAGGACAGTGGTTACCAGCAGCGGGCTCCGTTTGAAGCTCTTATACAGACTGTTGATGAATGGAAAATCTCGGGGACAGTCGACGGCGACAACGAGGACAGTGATGGCGGTGTTTCTCATGATTCGTCGACGCAAAGCCGGGCGGCCAAGTGAATGCGACTGAAAAAGACAGTGAAAAGTTGACGGCGATACATCGACAATAATGCATCAAAGGACGCCGGCGAACAATGGCTTTCGGAAGCCAAACGACGGCAAGAAGTGGACGAACGCGTTCAATAGCGGTTGGCCTTGCGACAGACGAAGCCGACGGCTAAGCGGACGGATGTGCTGACTCAACGAAGTCGGATAACGGCCGGAAAAGCCGCCGTGAGGTTCCTCACCCGTGGGACCGATCTCACGTTTCTGAACTGTCGCCCTCGCACCTCAGGATCACCGGGTAAACAACAACAACTGTCTGAGCTGTGATGTGTCAGTATCGTTGAATTCTGCCTCATATCAGTTCGACAACAGGCATGAGTCTGATTTGAGACGCGATTAATCATTTAAGAGTTCACGTCGCACATTGTCAGATGGCGAATGGATATCAAAATTAAATTTTTTAATACATGCCTTCTCTACTGTGTGAAATAGCATTCGCATACTCTAAGGGTACTGTCGAAGTCAGAACTTGCGTTTACTTCTCAAACGTGGATTTCATGCAGAACCAGAACAAAGTTGCACCGAATACTTTCTATCAAAGGTGAGGGATTTGAATTCATATTCAGCATGCCACGATGAAAACTATTTTAACGCACTCTCCTCGTTAAGTTAGAGGCAGACATGGCTCAAGTATGCAAAATACACTTTGAATTCAGCCCATAGAGTTTACTCTGTTGGCAGAGGAAAGTACCACTGTATAATCTTCCTGAAGCTTTGATAACCTTGACCACACAGCCTTGGATGAATAATCTTGGAAACAGATCGTCTCATTTGGCAAATAATAGCCTAAACGTCTTCAAGATGAAATAATGTGAAAAGGAAAAATTATATTACGTACTACAAAACTCAACATTAAAGATTGAGGAGATTTCTGCCTAAGTATACACCACGTGTGATATCTCAACGATAATGTTTTTGGGATTTTCGTCAACTCTTGCAGAGTACGAAAAGCAACCTTCAGTGATCGTTCGGTATCGGACCGTTCAACACCGCATTTCTTAGCCCAGATGACTATATATTCCAGTACACAATAAAATAAATAAATAAATAAATAAACAAATAAAATCCTAATGAAGATTTTGAACGTCAGTGTAAGTCAAGTACAAGAATACATCAAATGCACTTACTTATTTCTATAATCATTTGATTGT